GACTCTAATTAGCTACAGTTTTATGGGTTCCACCTACGAATTAAGGGGTAATGGCTGCTAAACTGTAGGTAAAGAGAGTTAGAGGTAAACCCTAAACCCTACATTCCTCTGCTTCTGTCGGTATTTGGAGGCTGCGAGAGATTAACGAAGCCGGTGGCCTCAGGGCTTAATTTTTGAAGGAGTCCCCAAAACCGTAAACCCGCAAGTCTCCCAAAACCTGAAGTGTCAAAAATCGAAAGCTCTCTATGAGACTGTTATGGTGCTACCTAAACTCTAATAAACTCTAAACCCTAAGCCCTAAAAACCCTGATGGGGCTACCTGGGATCTTGGTCTTCCGGCCTTTAAGGGGTGATACCCCGAGACCGAACCCTTCAAGACTCCCTAACTAGGGTTTAGGGTTTAGGGTTTAGTGATTTCTCAAGGTCTCTACCGGTAGTTTTAGATCGTATTATGGGGTTTCAGACGGCTCAGCTCTTAAGGGGTTATGACCTCAAGCGGGGTTACTGTAGACAGCGCCAAGACCCCCAGCAAGAGTCTTGGTTGCGTTGATAAGGGCGCGCCAGGAATCTACGGCTTCAAACTCGAGAGGCGACACCGCAGATCTGTTTTAAGTAAACCTAGGCCCTAAGACAACAGCAGCAAACCCTCAACCTTCAATCCCTGATCCTTCGTGCTATTGAGGTGAAATTCCTGCCTCCTGGCATCAAGCCCGGCGATCATTTCGGCGAGAAGAGTGAGCCGAACAAGGCTTCAAGCTCTGGGTTTAGGGGAAGGTGAGCTAAAAAGTGAGGGGCTTGCGCAGTTCGTAGTACGCTTCCTCAGGCTTCTTTAGTATACCCATATGCCCCTAAGTAGTTCCTTTTTGGGATTACCTTCTGGGGTTCTAAATATAAACCATAAAAAGGAACTACTTAGGGGTCTATGGGTAATATAAACTCCAAACCCTGGTCGAAGTTCTTAAGCCAGAAACCCGATCCCTAGCCCTGTCCTATTTGTCCGGCTTCTTCATTGGATTCCCTCACTTTGGGACAGCCAGTCTTCTCAGGACCCCTGACATAGCAGCCAACTCCCTTATGGATCATCGCAAAGCGGTCTGAATGCTTAGTAATGGGGGTTTGTGGCTTTGGGGCTTTGAGGTGTAGTGTCGCCTGTTCATCCCAGGTATAATAAGCAAGCAAGAGCACACACCAGATCCCTCTCCTAATCAGTGAGACCCCTACCTTGGCACACTGCCCCATGAAGTGAGCCGAAACCATATATACAACCCTAAACCCTCAACCCCAAATCCCACATCCTAAATCCTCAACTCTACATCCTAAATCCTAAACTCTGAATCGCGAATCCTGCGTCTTAAATCCTCAACCCTACATCCTAAATCCTAAACCCCTGCTTCATTTAACCCCTCAGCCCCAAAACCACAGCACCCAAAAGCCGAAACTCCACGAAGGCTAACACAGGCTTCTACTACGTCGCAGGCAGGCAGAAGCCGCGGCTTGTGACGAAGGCCCCTGGTTTCCTGATGGGTTCAGGGTTCCTGGGTTTAGGGTTCAAGTCTAGGGTTTAGGGTTTAGGGTTTAGGGTTTAGGGTTCAGGGTTTAGGTTTAGGGTTTCGGGTTCAGGGTTTAGGGTTTAGGGTTCAGGGTTTAGGGTTTAGGTTATCTGTTTACCGGAAAGGTTCTATATGGGTACCGCAAGGGTTATTTTTAAGGGTGCTAGAAGGGGTCGGGTTTGGGGTGTAGGCTTTTAAGCTTGGGCTTATGAGTTTGGGTTCTTTTGGGAGTTTGGGTTTAGGGGGTTTTGGCTTGCAGTTTGGGTTTGGGGTTTTGGGTGCAGGGCTTACGGCTTTGTGTTCAATTCGGTATCTTCACCTGCAGTCCTAAACCCTAAACCCTAAACCCCTAAAACCCCAAACCCTAAACCCTAAAACCCCAAAGCCCAAAACCCTAAACCCCAAAACCCTAAAACCCTAAACCCTAAAGCCCTAAAGCCCTAAAGCCCTAAACGCTGAAAACGAAAAGCCCTCGACTTTTGAAGCTTTTCTCCTGGCCAGATTTTCAACATCAGCGTGGACTGGTGCGATCGGCGACCGCACCTAGATGACCAGGAAAACTTCTGGGACTCTCTGGTGGTAAGCCGGCAGAGGATGCTTTGCTTGTTCAAGTTCAGAGAGTTTCCTAGGGTTCGGTTTAGGGTTTAGGGTTTAGGGTTCAAGTCCAGAGAGTTTGTGGAGTCTAGTGCCTTTACTACCGATAATCAGATTAAGGTTCAGGGCTTTTGGATAGGGGCTTTAGAGGTGTTTATGATCTGGGATGTATAGGTTTTAGGTTTGCATGGCTTAGAGCCTCACCGCCTTAAGCCCCCATGCAAGCAACAAAAAGCCGAAACCCTTCGGTCCTCGAGCCTGCCGGACCCCAAGCGTAGTGAGCTTTCGGGTGCTTTAAGCAAGACGTGAACTCTTCGGATAGTGTTCTGGGGACTGTGTTCTTTTGGGCTCTGCTCCTTTTTCTGCAGGGGACCTCCAAACAACACTGGATTTTCCGAGCTTCCAGCAGGAGCAGTCGGAAACCCACACATCCCTAAACCCTAAACCCGAAACCCTACACCCTAAACCCTAACCCTAAACCCTAAACCCTAAAGCGCCCCAGCATCCCAGGAAGAAGCGCAATCCGGAGTACGTGGGCTGCTTCCAGCACTGTGAGAGCACAGCCTGCGCGTCCGAGCCGCCCGAGCAGACCTTCACGCAACTTCAGCTGCACGCAACAGCGCGTTGAAGCCCGCAATCCCTAAACCCTAAACCCTAAACGCTAAACCCTAAACCCTAAACCGAAACCCCAAACCCTAAACCCTAAACTCAAGCCTGAAATCCTAAATCCCTACCCTGAACCCCCAACCCCAACCCGAAGACTCTTCTCTTGGAAGAAGTTGAAAGTACAACCAAGCCCGAAAGCCTGCAACCTTGAGCCCATTTAACCTGAAACCCTAAACCTTAAACCCTAAACCCTAGACCGGCTTCGGAGTGCAGGCGACGAAAGGCCCTTAAAACAAAAAAAGCAACACCCTTTAAGCCTGAAGGTATTGCCTCATGAACGCTTAAGCCTTAAACCCGAAACCCTAAAACCTGGAACCTTAAGCTCTTGAGGTACTGCCTCATGAACCCTAAACCCTTAAAGCCTGAAGGTATTGCCTCATGAACCCTTTCGAGAACGTCTTGGGCTGTGTCAACCCCGAGATCGCCCTGAAAGAGCCGTTCCAGCAGCCTGGTTCATGGTTTTAAGGTTTAGGGCTTGGGGTTTTTAGGGTTCATAGGGTTTTAAGGTTTAGGGCTTTTGGGGCTTTGGGGTTTAGGGTTTAAGGTTTAGGGTTTACAGGGTTTAGGGTTTGGGGTTTAGAGTTGAGGGTTTAGGGCTTAGGGTTTTGAGGGCTTATAACGTATAGGGCTAAAGGTTACGGACGGTTTTGAGTTTAGGGTTGAGGGTTCAGGTTCAGAGCTCTTTTCGAAGGAGTTTCGCCTGGGTGATGTACTCGGAAAAGATATGGGACTTTCCAGAGTTTCTCTTAAACTTTGGGCAGGATGTCGTAGCATTTGCGTTTGCAAGCTCTAGGGTTTGGTAACCATAATCCCTCATCACCGTTAGATGCCCAGGATGATAACGTACCACGCCACCCACGTCTTCGGGAAGACTGCGAAGCAGCACAAGCTGAAACGAGCGCAGCTCTGGGATCCGTGCTGACAAACAGCCAAAAAAAGCGCCTTGAGGGTTTATAGGGTTTATAGGCAGCCCTAAACCCTAAAGCGTAAACCCTAAACCCTAAACCCTAGCTTTTTTGGGGTTTCTTGGGGTGTGTAGGCTCAGTCTGCGGGGCTTGTTAGGGTTTCTAGGTTTATTTCCTCGGGGCGTCTGTTGGCTTTGTAGGGCTTCAGCCCTCATGTCAAGGTTTGGGCAGGTTTTTGCGCCGAGGGCGTGCTGTCCTAAGCATCACCGGCCTTAGTGCGTAGGCTTAGAAATAAGTAGGGCTTGGATGTTACCCGGCACATATGATCACAAACTCAACCAACTTGTAACTACACATGAGCCTTCAAGCAGTAGCTGTAGACGTCTAACATCCCCAGTCGGTTTTGGCGTGACTCTGTGCCTTCTTTCTACTACGAGGAGAGATCTTGGCTTCAGGGCCTTAGGACTTTGTGAGGAGTTTGAAGTCCCAAAAGCATGAAGCCCTGAAGAAAAACGCCCGAAGCCCAAGACCCCAAAGCCCTAAGCCCTGAGGCCCAAAGCACCAACATCCTCAAACCCTGACACCCCGACGCTCCCAAACCCCAAACACCCCGGAGCTCTCAGAAAACAGCCTTGCTCAAAGACACCACCACAAGCCTTCCCTCCATCAACATACGGTTGATGGTATAAATCTTGCATTAACACCATAAAAAGGCACAGGACCATAATTCCCATAGTTTAGGGTCCTGAAGGTGATGCAGGATTTTTGTCATCAACCGTACTTGGCATTACTTGGGATCCTTCTGTGGATTTTCAGATACTTTCCTGAGCCCCCCCCCCCCCGTAAACCCTAAATCCTAAACCCTAAACCCTAAACCCTAAACCCCCCCCCCCTTGCCAGCCTGAACTCGACCTCAATCCTAAACTCTCAACCCCTATGGAACCCGTGGAGTGCCTTTGAGGCCTAATCTCTGCAACCCCTCATCCCTAAATCCTCCTAAAACCCTAAAGCCCTAAATCCTCAAACCCCAATCCCTTAAACTTCGGGTTTGGGGCTTAGAGTTAGGGTGCAGGGGTCAGGCCCTTAAACCCAGAATGTCGAAGCTGGCAGGTCGCCTCGGGTGTAACGTGCGGCTGAAGGCGCACGCGCCCACCTGAACGCCAGAGCTTCTGTACGCAGTGGGCGTACAGAGCCGGAGGGCTTAGGGTTCAGGGTTTAGGTTTAGAGTCTGTGTTGTTTCCGATTACGTCAACCCTAAGGGCGTAAGCCGTCAACTCTGGATAGAGCCCTACTGGACAAGACGGAGCCATTAAGGCACTCCTGTAATTCTAACGACTAATCTGCAACCGGCTGAACTCCACTTGCGAGGAAAAACATGCGAGCTGCAGATCACCTAAGCCAGCACCTACTCAGAGGCGCATTTGGCTAAGGTTTCGCAGGCTTTGACAGGACGGGATCATGTAGCTTGTTGAAGTGAAAGAAAATCAGAGTCCAAACTGAAGCGTACAGTAAAGTGGAGTACCGTAGAACAGAGTAGAGTGGGGGAAAGGAAGGTAACGCGAAGCATCTCCCTCCTCCAAGCCCTCACACCCTTCACCCTAGACCTAAACCCTAAACCCTTAACCCTAAACCCTAAATTTCACACCCTAAGCCCTAAACTCACATCGGCAATGTCCCAGAAACCCCCGGCCCCCAAGGGGATTTAGCCCCAAAGCAGCCATCCTAAAGCCGAAATCCTAAACTCAGAACGAACCCCCATAGCCAGCAGTCCAATATAGGGGCCTTAACAATTAGAATAGGGTTTGGGGTATATTATAATATAACTATCATAAGGAACTGTTTTTAATTATTAAGGCCCCTACATTACACCCAGAACCCAAGGCCATCTTCATGTACCTAGCCGTGGGAAGCCGAGAGGGGGGCCTCGCCGTGGCGGCTTCGCGTGTCTCAGGATTTCGGCGACATCGCCTTAGGAGTTGGTGGTTTCGGGCAGGTGCTAAGGATACCAGCTTAGGGTTTAGGGCTCAGGGCTTTGGGTTTAGGGTCTAGGGCTTAGGGCTTTGGGTTTAGGGCTTGGGGTTCATGTTGAGGGTCTGTTTCCGGGTGTAAAGCCGCAGGTTGGTCCACGTGCTTGAAACCTTGGGCTCTTGGTTTAGCCCCATCCCTAAACACGCCCCCAAAACCCAACACCATACATGGCTAGTTCTCTAAATTAGGGTCCCTTTTGGGATCCGTTTTACACGGGTGCACTATATTGGGGACCTGAAAAAGGACCCTAATTTAGAGAATCCAAGCCAAAAGCCCAAACCCGTCATGGACCATCAGAAAACCCTAGCAAACGTCCAGTACGACCCAAAACGTCCTAGTCACGCCCTTAAAACGCCGCCCTTCAAGGCTTTTACAGTAGAAGCCCAAAAGTTGGACACCCAAGAGCCTCAATCCTAAAGAGTAATGTATAGGGAATCCCAGCACTATTTGACCTTAATCCGGTTTCCAACTTTTTGGGGTTTACTAAACCCCATAAACCCTAAACTAAAGCCTAAACCCTAAACCGTGACCATTATTCCTTCAGGTTCCCAGTTGAACTGTATCCGTATTAGAAGTTCACAACTCGGAGACCGAGCAGGTCTGGAAATACCGGCTCTCCAAGCAGCTGGGAAGCCAGGCGGGCGGGGGTCTAGGGTTTAGGGATCAGGGTTCAGGGTCAAGGGTTTAGAGTTTAGGGATTAGGGTTGAGGGTCTAGGGTTTAGAGTTTAGGGTTGAGGGTCTAGGGTTTAGAGTTTAGGGATCAGGGTTTAGGGTTTAGGGTCTAGGGTTTAGGGTTGAGGGTTTAGTAGGGTTTAGAGTCTACGGATGAGGGTTGGGGTCTGGGTTTGTATAGGGTTTAGGGTCTATAGGGTTTAGGGATTAGGGTTCAGGGTTTGGGTTTGAGGGCCCGAATGGGTTTGGGTTTGGCTTCAGGGTTCAGGGTGCCAACACAATCGCCTGAAAGATTGGAGGATTCGTCTTGCCTTAATAAGTACCAGTACTAGTTTGGGGGTTCCTTGCTATTATTATACTATAAAGGACCCCAAAGCCCTATTCCTAATTATTAAGGCCCTTACATTATGTTATTGCAGTGTAGTATAGCTGCAACTACAAAGGGTCTTCATGAATACAGGCTCTTGGCTATGTTATGAGGGGCCTGCATAGTCAGTACTCGCAGTACTATTCTTGCGGATCTCTTACTACACACTCAAAGCATACAAAGCCCTCAACCCTAAACCCTAACCCCCTAAACCCCTAAACCCCTAAACCCTAAGCCCTAATATCTATATATATATACACACACATACACATACATACACATACAGAATTATGCGGGGAATCGGCCAGATGATCTTTCACTGTTTGGGATCTACGCCGGTCTGATTACTTTTTTGTATCTTTTGCTTTTGGTTCTTTGCGGTTTCACTTCCGTGTTTGTCGTGCTTCGGGTTTGATAATGATTTGGAGTACTGGACCAACTTAATTAGGGGAAGAATTCCGCAAAAGTTCCCCTCATACTCCCCAAAAAGAAGTACTTGAATGCTCCCACAACCCCTGTTGGAAAAGCACTGTTCCTACAGACTGCTGATACTACTGTTGATGATATAAATCCTGCATTACCTTAAGGACCCTAAACTGTGGGAATTATGGTATACTCCTTATGGGTAATGCAGGATTTATATCATCCACCGTATGGTGTCTGGGTTTCGGGAACCTGATCAAAAGGCTCTTACTACGTGCTAAGTCAGAACAAGGCCTTTGGGGTGTAGTAATTGGGGCCTGGATGTTTTCTGATTGTTCTCTCCCATCTACGCACCCTAAACCCAAAACCCTAAACCCTACACGCCCTAAACCCTAAACCCTATACCCTAAACCCTATACCCTGATTCCAAAGCCTATGCCTGCAGGTCTTGCGGAAGGATGCCCTTTGCTCTGTGTCGGGTGCCTGACAGTGGAACAGCCGTGGCACACATCGGGAACCAACTCCTTGAACCCTCAGGTGCTAACCCTGGAGCCCTAGACTTCAGAGAATATACGGACCTACATAGTTACTAATACTATTTCGGGGGGTTCTTCTTATAATTATAGTATACTGGGGCCAAAGCCCTATTCTAATTTCTTTGGCTCCTATGTTAGTTCAAGCCAGATGTTCGTTCTGCTGTTGGTTGAATAGGATAAAGATCCCGAAGAGGGGGCGGGGCTCACGCTTTGAACAACCCCAAGTGAGGCTGGGTTTATAGGTTTGTCCTTTGGCCTCATGAGCAGTCGAATCTTTCGAGCACGCTTCAGCGTGAACGCCTACGGCATGGGTTTGCAGAAGCTTGTCAGAAGCGTTTGCAGCTTCCTAAACCCTAAACCCTAAACCCTAAACCCTAAACCCTAAACCTATACCCAAAACCCTTCAGCCTCACCCCACAAAGCTCTTCATGGACTGAGGTTCTCGCCATGTCTCTTTACGTGGGTTCTGAAAGCAAGCATCAAAGAAGGGTCGGAGTGACCAGCAATGCCCAAAAGAACAAGGGTTTAGGGTTTATGGTTTAG